AGAGAAAGAAGCTTCTGTTGTTAAGCCACCCAGGACTTTGGCATTTCATTGCAGTAGCCTGAGCAGAGTAAAAGATCAGGAGAGTATATTGAAGGGAACGAGGGATAAGGTATCTGAAAGTACTTACAGGAACTGAATATAATAGACCCTAAAGTAGAGAAAGAGGGCAGTGAATATGGTGGAGGGACAAATGAGAGCAAAAGTTAAATAAGATCAATTGATTGGAAGTCTCAGTGCACTTGAAGCATTAACTGGAAAATAGAATATGAGGAGAGTGTGATATTTGAATGTTTAACATTGAGATTATGGAGGAGATGTCTTACCGGTAATGGCAAGGTCTGCAAGTATGACTGTAAACAGAAGACAAATTTATTGAAGGTGACAAGCCAGAGATCTGAGAAATCATGGTATTTAATGGAGTATCTGTGTGGCTATTGAAAGTACCAAGAATAATTACTGGAGGAGCAATGAAGAGAAAGGCCGACATTCAGAAGGCCAAATATTCAAGGCAAGGATACAGCTGTAAGTACATAGATATCAGTGGTATCTGGAAGTGAAACCAACAGGAATTGGTCATGAATTTAAATGAGATCGAAGAAGGCTAGGAGGTGGGAGCCATTAAGGATAGCTCGGGATAAGGCTCCTGACTCCAGACACTGAATGAGTCATGGTTACATTGGTGAGTTAGAGAAGGCTGGGAAAAGATAAAGAGTTCTATTTTGGATGTACCGAATTTGAAATGACCTTGGGGTAGCCAAGTGCTCATAATGAATACTAGGCTGCTATTTCGGTCTGGTGCCCAGTGCCCAGTGGAAATAGAAATCTGTGAAGTATCTGGTGGGAGGTGGTAATTGAATTATGAGAGCAGTTGCATTGCCTAGGAAGTAAGAGTGGAAAGAGAAGAGGAGAAGTTGAAGATGATGTCTTGAGTAACTTCAGTATTTAATGAGCAGGCCGAGTATTGTGAACCTTCAAGAGAGAATGATTAGGAAGACAGGTAAGAAGACCAGGAGAATACAAAGTCACAGAAGCCAAGAGAAGAGGGTTTTAAAGTGGAAGGTGTAGCTAATAGTGTTGAAAGCTAATGAAGAACCAAATAGGCTGAGACCATAAAAATGTCATTGGATTTAGTGACATGGAGGCCACTGGTGACCAAAGTAAAACCTCTTTAGTGGACTAGTGGGGGTGGAAGAGAAAGTAGAGATTGGCGACAGAGGCAGAGGTGAGGAAAAGGAAAACTGAAAAAGCAAGGTAGACTACCCTTTGAAGAATGTTGGTAGCTAAAGGGGAAGAAAATAAGTAAGGTAGTTGGGGGGTTCAGTGGGACTAAGAATAGATATATCACTTTTTATGTGAGGGGGGAGCCCCAAAATGGAATTATCTTCTGGCAAGTGGGCCCCTTTAGTGCAGGATTCCTCCACTAAGTGAATGTTCTAGAAATGCATCTGTATCAGGATACCAGCTGGCATTGTTGTGAGAGGCGGCATTCAGGTTTGGTGAATTTTTTTTTGAAGACTCTTTGAACATGTTTGCCCGTTTCATGATGGGTGATTTACAAGCGTGCCCATGCACACTGTGCTGCGTGTTCAGCAGTTTTTGACCAAAAATGGTGTGACCCCCGTGCCCCACCCTCCCTATTCTGTCAGTCTTGCCCAAGAGACTTTTCTTTGTTTCCCCAGATGAAAAAGTCCTCAAAAGGAACTATTTTGTTGATGTGGAAGAGGCAAAACAAAAAATGGCAGAAGCACTAAAAGGCATCAAAATCAAGTTCACAAACTGTTTTGAGCAGTGGAAAGAACATCTCGATAGGTGTATTGCATCCACTGGAGAGTACTTTCTAGGTGACAGAAGTTTAAACATGTAAAAATAAATACACAATTTTTATAAATAAATTCCACTTTTGGGGGGTCCCCCTCATATTTGTATATATTTGTATTAACTTGGTTAACATAAAATTTATTTTCAAGATGGCAGAAACATAAGCCTATTTAAAACTCAATGAAATGTATATAATTGGAAATTTAATATGGATTTAATATAATATGTTCGTGAGAAAACATCAATGAAGGTAGAAAATTAGGAGGGGATGGGATCCTAATGGCAGGTGGTGGGCTGGACCTCAGGAGGAAGATTAACAGGCGGGAAGGGGAGTGAACTGGCGGGGAACTCAGTCTGTCATCTCACTGGGCTGTATCTTCTCTCTTCTGGGTGATCCAGTCGGCTTTTACAAGAGAGTTTTATGGGATGGGTGGGTGCCATGGGATACCTGCTGTCCATGCGGCCATGAGGAACAAGAAGGCCAGCTCCATCCCCTGCAAGGTGTCAGGAAGGAGCTACCACCTGAGCAGACAGATCCGGGGAGGAGCAGCGTTGCCAGGTGTCAGCGTAGGAAAGGGGACATTCCTAGAAGACAGCGGAAATGTAAGGGAGTTCACCATTTCTGAGAGCACCACGGAAGGTTTGGGTGGATCGTGATGACTGCGGAGAAAGTTTGTTTGCAGCAACAAGAAGATACTTTTCAACCGCAAATCAAGCAGTTTCAGAAGCAGTTTAAGTAGAATGGCGGAGGTTGCTGTGGAAGATTTTAAAGTGAAAGGCAGACTCTTTCTTTGTTCAAGGAATTTGGCTGTAAGAGAAAAAAGGAAGATGGAATTCAAATTCTATTTGACATTTTTGTCCTCTATAATCCAGCTAATTACCTATGTGATTTCATTTCCAGTTTGTTCTTTAACATGATCTCTATTTAGACTGATTTCCTGTATATAATATTTTCCAAACTCCTTTCTTCTAAGCCACTGTTCATGCTTTTCCTCCTGCCCAGAATGCCCTTCAAACATTTTTTCTGCCTTTTTGAACACAGCCCATTAAAATCTACCTTGCCACGTTTTCCTTTTACATGTTTTTTCACTATGAAATAAGTGCAAGAAATAAGTTGTAAAACCATTTGGAAAGGGCATGAAATTATAAATTAAAAATAACCCATGTAATACCATCACTTAGATACATCATACTGTATATATTATTTTCAACACTAATACTTCTGAAACTTATGAGTATTTTTGTTCCACTAATTATTTATAACAAAATTTTAATAACTGTCTAATATCCTGCAGTATAGATGTACCATAATTCATATAAGCATTCTCCTATTATCAGTTAACTTCGATTTTTCCTGTTATAAATAAAACATCTTTTACATAAATACTTGTCTGCACAGTAAATAACACCTTTAGGGCAAAAATCCTTTAAGTAGATTACTTATTCTTATATTACTTATATGTTCAAAGAGTATATAAATATTTTAAAGGCTCTAGATAGAGTGGGTTATTTTCCAAAAAGGCCATAATAAATTATCCTCCTACAAGCAGCATTTATGAGTGTATAAGGCACAACTCCATTGTCAACATAAAGTATTTTTAAAATTTTCTGTTTCTTGGTTGGGAAAAATGCCTTTCCATTGGGCTTTTCATACACTTTCATTTGATTACTTATATAAACTGAATAGTTTATTGATCACTGGATTGATCTTCTTTGTATTGTCTAGCCACTACTTTTACCCATAAGGCAGTATTTTCAATTGAATTGTAAAAGATTATTATTAATGTTAATCTAAATGTAAAGATCATTGCATGCTAATTGCTTTGCCTTATATTATAGTTGTTGTTAGCTTCACCCTGTTGTTTTCCCAATAAAATACATGCCACCTATCTGAATCTTTACTGAGTTCTCCATTGTCAGAACTCCTTTAGTTTCTTTCATGTTTATCATAGATATCAGAAAGATAGTAAGTACCTTAATAACAGGAATAGGGAATATATCACCATTTGTATATCACCTTTGTATTTATAATTGATACTGTGATATTTGACTTCTGATTTGCTCCTGAGTTAATCATTATATATGTGCTTATCAAAATATATAACAAATTAACCCATTGTGTGTTAATTACCATACCATTCTAGAAAAATTTGTGTTTGCTGAAAGCCCTAGGGAATAGACTACTTTTCTTGATATTATCTTTGTGTTTGTAGTAAGATTTGGAAAACATATCCCTGGGGTATATTAAAATTATTTCAAAAGTTTTAGGATTGTATATTAAAAAAACATTGTCTTTGGAGCATAACACTCGAATCATAGTTAAGTGAAAGGTGGTGTAAACCATCTGATAAATGATTTTTTTTTTCATGTCAAGAAACCCAACATTTCTGAGCATTCTGGCTTTGCAAGGATTTATCGTTCCCTGCCTGCATGCTGGAGTTCCTTCAGCTTTCCGTGAGGCATTCCAGCTAATCTGGAGGTTAAGGCATTCCTTGATCATGGACAGATCTGATTGCTACTCAGCCCTGGAATTCTTTATAAAATTCCAGAATGCGGGCTAGAAATTGACTTAGGGAATCCAATAAAGTTGCAAGTCTTGGCAGCCATCCAAGCTAAATTTATAGGCTGGAAGAAATATGGGCTTTCCATTGTTCTCTTTTTCACCTTTCTGGGGTTTCTTTTGTGTGCATGTGGGTGTGTGAGTGTAAATTTATCATTTTGCTGACACTGAAGTGGAAATAACCATTGAGGGAATCCAGCTAAAGAATTTTCACTTTGGATCTTCCCCGTGTTTTCCGAACTTTGACCCAAGCCTGAACCAAGAGTGACTTTCTTCTCCCTCTGTAGGATGTTGGCATCATAAAATAAGAAGTTGCTCTTGAATATGAATTATGCTAAAGTATCAGCTGACGTGCACATTTGACAGCTAGGTACAAGCCCCCAAACCCCTGTTCTTCCCTTGGCTCTGGGGTGAGCCTTTTTTTTTAAGGCACAATCTGAGAAAATGGGATCACTTATATTGTTTCTGTTGATTCTGTGCAATGGTGATGGGGCAGTGAAACAAACTCGGAAGCCTCTATCTATACTTCAGTCTTTTTCTGTGTGCCCGATGCTCTGTAGTACTCGAAGGTTCAAGCCATCCTCCCATAGCTGATCATTGGAAACATATCTTGTTCTTACAGAATGGATTTGCTGTTGTGAGGCCCCCAGGCCATCACGCGGAAGAATCCACAGCCATGTAAGTACCAGGGACGGTTGCCCATCTCCAAGCGCCACGGTTCCTGGCAGTCACCTGCCCCGTGCATGTCTCTGAAGCCTCTAATTGTTAGCAGATGGAATGAAAAATCTTGCGAGGTACTCCCAGAAGCAGATTTATGGCTTCAGAGATCATATAGCATTTTTTAAAATGCTCTGAACATTATTTATAATGGTTTTCCCGGCTGATTTGCTTTCTTATTTCTCTGTTCTTCTCTATTCCGCAGGGGGTTCTGCTTTTTTAATTCAGTTGCAATTACCGCCAAATACTTGAGAGACCAACTAAATATAAGCAAGATATTGATTGTAGATCTGGTATGTATTCCTGGCCAGAGCTGCATTTTCAGTGACTCTAGATAAAAGAGAGTGACTTTGTATTTCTCTGTGAGGTTGTCTTGCTTTTAGCACTTGCAAACAACTGAAGGGTGTGTTTCCTTTGAATGTGGAAACTCATTAAATTCAGGATTGCAGTTCTGAAACCATAAACATTCGCGTTTCACTTTCATGGTGTTAACTGCAATTTAATGAGAAGAAGGCGCAGATCAGGGCAACTTTTATGATCCTTAAATGAATTGATACTTCCACAGTTAAAATAACCCAACAGAACCTGAATTTACTTTTCCCTACAGAATATAGACTTTAAACAGTCAGATGTGCTGGAAAGAATGCTGTTGCTTTGGTAACCAATTGGCCACTTCCCTTGGTTAGCAATCATGTTGCTTGTTGTGCAACAGTGGTATTATTAAAACAAGTCAGCATGTCATTCTTTCTGAGAAGATTTCAGATCACGTATGCCAGTTTGGGATGACTCCCGGCAGGGACCCTGAGTGATTAAAGTCAGAGGCATTAGATTAGTCTTGCATTTTAACATGATACATTCTTACACAATAGAGTTATAATTTGTTTAACAAATGGCTTGTTTAAATGCAGATGACACTTGGCATGTTGTCTATAGTATATTCAGGAATAATGAGCTGGAGATCTGCCCCATACAAAAGGACCAGCCCAGGAAAGGGCGAAAGAGAGCTGACTGGTGATTTATGAGCCCCGTTTTCGGTTTGCCTCCAGTTCACGAGGAGGTGTAATAGGTTGTCTGACAAAGCATAGACAGGAAATGAACCCTGGCATCCAAAGCGAACCTGCTACATCTGCACTTAATTAATTTTTGCAGGTGATAAAAGATTTAAAGGCAAAATATGTTAAAAGTTTTTTTTTGAAGTGCAAGGCTTAATAGTCTAAATCTTGTTCATATCTGCACTCATAATTAAATCTTATTGGGAAGTCGTGGCCTCACCATCCAGCCTCCGATTCAGTTAAGCAGGCACTCCGCAAGGGCGGAGAGTGCAGACAAAGCCGTGGGAAGAAATACTAAGTTAAGTTAAAACGAAGATAAAGGGAATGAAAACCTGATAAACATTTCCAGGGCTTGGTAGGAATGGCTGTTTTTCACATACAGTGGTGTAGCCTTACTGCAAGCACTTGGTGCTGAGACATTGAAACCCAACTGTCCGTGTATTTTGCAACCATGCTTAAGTTTCAGTGTAGGTCATAGTTCACCATTAAAGAAACGTGTTGAAGGCCTAGATATACTACAGCAGCGAGGTCCTACAGCTTAACAAAAAGGAGGACATCAGCACACACTGTCCCATGTACGTACAAAATGACATTTTAACTAATTAATAATTCCTGGTTTACATATTTATAAGAGAGTAAATTAAAAATAATTTAGTAGACTTCTAGTACTGTAGGTTCTGTTAGAAAGATGAACCAAAAACTTGAAGGAAGGACAGCAGATGAAGACTGAGGATCGGGGAAAATTTTTCTAACCTTTCTAAATTTGTCAAAATTGTGGGGGAAGAAGATTGGTAAACTGTTCATCTTATCCTTAAGAGTCTTTTATTATTATGTTCTAAGGAATCTCTTCTGCTACTGTTTTGTGATTCTGTGAAAATAATCAGTAGCCATTGAGTCTCTATGAAAACGCATTGGCGACATCCCAGCGCTAAAGTAATGAATTGTACAATGAACTTGGAGGCTAAAATGCCTAGCTTAGGCTAGATGGATATTTTTCACCTGGGAGGATTTGTCTGTAGCGTTTTGTTTTTGTACGTTAATGTAAGAATACTGCTAGAGATAATTCAGTATGATTTATAAAATAAGTTGCTTGGTAGCTCCAAGGCGTATCCTGTAAGATTACTGGCCTTTGATTATGAATTTGCTCCATTATCCAATCATAAAGGATACTGATTTCCCAGCAGGCTGTAGTAGAGGAGAAGTATTTGTTTCAGATTTTCTAAATATATGAAGTTCTGTCCAAAGGGTTGCCTCTGAGATCACCACCAGCCTGCGTATTCTTACGTTCAAGTCGTCCAAATTCTGCAGCTGCAGGGAGACTTTGAGGAAATTCCCCTGTTCCTTCCAGCTGCCGAGAAGGAAGTTTTAAAGTGCCACGTGGCTCTGAGACATCCGTTCCCCCTGGCTGACAGGTCTGTCCTGCAAGTTAGCAGAGGAGAACTGAAGGCTCTTTAATGGCAAAAGAACTTCATTCCTGAATGTCCAAAGTCACTAATTTTAGCTAATCAAGTGTGAACTAGCTCCACAAATTCTTGGGCCAAAGGAAGGCAGAGCTCCCCTCTTGTCCGGCAGCTGGTATCTGCAGCTTTGCATGCCTAGTAAGTAGAGAGCAGAACTTTAGTCCACCTCCTCCTGGGGGCCACAGCCAAATTCAGAGGCAGTGAATATTTTAGGTAGAAGTAATCCTAGTTGATCTGTGGAGCTTATTCATTCCAATTCTCCTTCTGGGGTAGATTCCAAAGACATTCAGATTGGCGAGGAGAGGGAGCAGGTGCACTTGCTTTCCATCTCTCAAGAGACTGGTCATCGTGTTCAGGGTATGAAGCTGTTCTAGAAGTATGATTTGCCTGGATGACTCAGGTAGCTTTTATATGATGTGACTTCCAGTTGAAAATAATACATTTGGGGCTTTCTTCATAAAAGAAAGGCCACGTTAAATGTCAGATTTGGGGTATTTCCATTTTTGATCAAGCACCAAACTTGACTGAAGAATTGTCACTAAATTATTATAAGTGATAACTTTAGCTGGTAGAATATATAACTTAATCAAAGCTATTTTAACATTTTAATAAGGATATATTGGTTCTAAATTCTTGTGCAGAATTCTTATTCAGTGTATTTTTGAGCAGTAAAAATATTGAAGTGATTTTTCAGCATTTCAAGAAAATCTTATACACAATGTGTATTTTGAGGCATGTAATGATTTAGTTAATTTCATCATTATAGGACTTTCATATAATCACCAATGATTTTTCTTATAACAGTCCCATATATTTTGTTGCCATTGAGAAATAAGTCCTCCAGTCATGCCTGAACGTTAAGTACTTTGCATAAGTATTTTATAGCAAAGAAAGCTGAAAAAATATATGTATATTTTCACTTTTCAAGGTTGTATTATAAGTCATTAACTAAAACAAAAGGCACATTTGGTCTGTCTTTCCTTTATCTCTAAAAACTTTGTGAATATGAACATGGAATCAAGAATTATCTGAGTATTTTTAGAATGGACTTGTGAATTTCAATGAAAATGTCAGTTGAAAGCTTACTGTGCTGTGGGCAAGACTATATTTCTTATTCAGAAATGTATTCAGTAATAAGCACCCAACACATTTTTCATGAACAAACGATTTCTTTTTTAAGATAGATGATCATCTTTCATTTGACATTCTTAAATAAACTTTTATAGTAACTTTTATAGAAAGGAAAGTTATCAAGGCAGTATATATTTTGGGGTTTCAAAGTATGGGTACATTTTGCCCCAAGAAACATTTTTCTTACAATGCTGGCTAAAATTTCTATCATGTAGTAGATATGCAAACGTTCTTTCATTGTTGTTTTTCAAAGAATTTTATTTGTTCTTCCTCTAGGTATCCAGTAGCAATCTCAAAGGACATTGTGGCTTAAGCTGTTTCATTTTGTTCACATAAAGGAAAATAATTTTACCATCTCTCTTTACTTTCCTCTGAACATTCAGAAATCCAGGAATTGATATATATATATATCAATTTTTCAGTAAGCTATTTTTTCCCGATGAGTATTCCTTGAATCAGAACAAGGCTGCAGAATGCTGCACATCTTCCTCAGTATTTTTTGATTCCTTAACTGATTTTGGATCCGTGTACTATATGGAAGGGAGAGAGGACAAGTGGATGTCTACACTGTGGAGAGCAAGCTCAGCGCAGGCTTTCAGAACCCTCCACAGGGAGGGAGTTCTGGGCTGGAGGTTGCAGTGAAGACAAGCTATGCAAATTTCAGTAAGGAGCAATAATGACCACCAGTCTCACCTCACAGGTTTGCTAAGGGGATCAAAGAGATCATGAATGGAAGTTAGCAATACAATGGTTACCAGTTTGGCCTTTGGAGTAAGAAGAATATTCAAGATGCTGTCTTGCAAATTATTCTTTCTATCACCTTAGTAAATTACTGAAACTCTGAGTCTGAGTTTACTTTTTCTAAATTAGTGATTTTTTAAAGATTTTATTTATTTATTTTTAGAGAGGGAAGGGAGGGAGAAAGAGAGAGAGAGAGAGAAACATCAATGTGTGGTTGCTGGGAGTCATGGCCTGCAACCCAGGCATGTACCCTGACTGGGAATCGAACCTGCGACACTTTGGTTCGCAGCCTGTGCTCAATCCACTGAGCCATGCCAGCCAGGGCTTAAATTAGTAAAGTTTTAATTTTACTAATTTTTACTAATTTACTAAATTTACTAATTTTACTAATTTTAGTAAATTTTTAATTTACTAATTTAAAATACCATAGGGATAGTGCCATATACACCACATGACTGCTAAGTAAGCCATGCAAAGATTTAATGTAGTGCCTGAACTTGTAGGAATCATTGTTGAAAACAGTGTGAGTTTTCCTAATACAAAATAAAGCACTATATATAGTTAAAAGTGACCCAAATTTTTTTATTAGAGAACCTGAAACTGTACACGTTACACAGGTAGCAGCAATGTTGTATTGAGTACAAATATATAAACTGTTTGCTTTTGAGTCGTCTATTTTATTTTTGTTCAGAAGATTTTAGGGTATTAGGTCTTCCAGTGAAGACATTTTAAAAACTGCTACTAGTTTTATTTTTTCCCATTTCTTTTACAATTCCAGCATATGTCTATATTATAAAACAATTAGAAAAAAAGAACTGTTACATTTTGAATCATTATCATTTACATGTCTGAAGAATTTTTTTATTCATTAAAATGACAAGGGTATTTTTTTTTATTTTGGTTTTTTTTTAAAGGAAGAGGGAGTGGTGTGGGGAAAGAAAAAAAGAGGAGGAAGGAAGGAGGCTGGGAAGAAAGCCATGATATAATATTAAAATTAGGCAGATTGGAGAAGATTGCATAAAGCCCCATGCCATCTTTCTGCTTCAGACCAAATGATTTAATAGCTAATGAGCTCATGCTCCTGTGTCTTTGACTTGCCGTCACGATTTTACCAAAATAAAGTATGAAGTCCTTTTTGCATCTGGCATCTCTTTTGAAGTGATTCTAACTGCTGAGGGATTACTAACTGAACTGAACGCTTCAAGAAAGCCAATTTACTCAGCTGGTTGCAAAGCCTTTGACCTTAATGGTGGGACTTGGCAAATCAATGCATACACGTATGTTTAGTGTTCTGTCAAGAAATGCGAAAATGCTCTGTAAGCCATAGATCCTTCTGCAAAATACTAGTTTGTAGTTTAAACATTAGTCTTTCTTCAGAGGCCAATGAGGCTAGTTAATTAAGCCTGAGGGGTTATGAACTGTTGGCAGTTAATAAGTCATAAAATTCCTCCATAAAACAGGATGCGAGATTCCATCACTGAAGCAAAGAGTACAAAGGGCCGGTGTATAAATATCTAATTGTACCAAAGGACTGGGCTTTCTCAATGACTGCTCATCTGGAGTCTCCAGGGCATGTTCACTGTGGTTTCCTGATTTTTAGAAGCCAGTTTAAAAAATGAGTGCATTAAAGGGTAATTTGCCTGAAAGTTCAGGAAGTAAAGGGGGTGGTGTGGAAGCAAGTTGAAGGGGAGAGAGAAAGAGGACATAGGGAGAGGACAGAAAAGGAGAAGGAGGCTGGGATAGAAAGACAGGGAACTCAAAATCAGAACGCAGAGTTCTGTCTCCACACGGAGTTAGACCTGACTGTATCTGTCATCTGTTTTCTTTTCCCTGTAGGATGTTCACCATGGAAATGGGACACAGCAGGCCTTTTATGCTGACCCCAGCATCCTGTATATTTCCCTCCATCGCTATGATGAAGGGAACTTTTTCCCTGGCAGCGGAGCCCCAAATGAGGTTCGGTTTATTTCTTTAGAGCCCTACTTTTATTTGTATCTTTCAGGTAATTGCATTGCATGATTACCCATAATTTTCTTGTCCTTTGCTGGTGTTTTAAATTACACGAGATTACTGAGTTGTCCCACGGGAGCAAGAACCAGTGCAGAACAAGTGCATAACCCAGCGCACTGGTTGTCAAGCAAGGGTGGGCTGGCTTGACATGTTGTTTGATGTTTATTTCGAGAGCTCACATGTGTTTGTTTTCCTCTCTTCTTGCTTTCTTCCTTGTGCCCTCCTCTCCCCATGGTGGTGTGGTTTTTCTCTTCTCAGGTTGGAGCAGGCCTTGGGGAAGGATACAACATAAATATTGCCTGGACAGGTGGCCTTGATCCCCCCATGGGAGATACTGAGTACCTTGAAGCATTCAGGTTGGTACTTCTTTCTATGCAAGTGGCAAATTAGAAAACAAATGTTGGTGGAAACAACACCAAAACCAAAACAGAAATGTAAATTTCTAACTAAGGTAAAGTAGCTAAAGGCTTCCATCAAAGTTCCAAAAATGTTGTGTTTTGGGGACCTGAATATTGCTACACAGCCAGTAAGGAATATATGTAAGACAACGGGTACATCAAGATGTAGTTGTATCGTTGGCGAATATTTTCTCCCATGCAGTCAGTTGTCTTTTGTTTTGTTGGTGGTTTCCTTTGCTGTGCAAAACCTCTTTAGTTTGATGTAATCTCACATTTATTTTTTCTTTTGTTTTCCTTGCCTGAGGATATATATCCAAAAATATTGCTAAGAGTGATGTCAAAGAGTTTACTGCCTGTTTTCTTCTAGGGGTTTTATGGTTTGGGGTCTTACAGTTAAGTCTTTAACCTATTTCGAGCTTATTCTTGTATATGGTATAAGAAAGTGCCCCAATTTCATTTGTTTGCATGTGTCTGTCCGGTTTCCCCAGACCATTTGTTGAAGAGACTGTCTTTACCACTTTGTATATTACTGCCTCCTTTGTCATAGGTAAATTGACCGTATAGATGTGGATTTATTTCTGGGTTCTCTATTCTGTTCCATTGATCTTTGTGTCTTTTTATGCCAGTACCATGTTGTTTTGATTATTATAGCAGTGTAGTGTAGTTTTATGTCAGACAGTGTGATACCTCCAACATTGTTCTTTGTCAAGCTTGCTTTGGCTCTTCAGGGTCTTTTGTAGTTCCATATAAATTTTAGAATTATTTGTGCTAGTTCTCTAAAAAACACTATTGGTATTTTGATAAGGATTTCATTGAATCTGAAGATTGCTTTGGGTGGTATGGACATTTTGACAATGTTCATTTTTCCTATTCACAAGCATGGTATATCCTTCCATTTATTTGTATCTTCAATTTCTTACAGTTTTTCAAGTATAGGTCTTTTACCTCCTTGGTTAAATTTATTCCTAGATATTTTATTATTATTAATTAAAAATATAATATAAAAAAGAAAAAGAGATCTAGCTGTAGTTGTATAGATATATTGGCCAATGGCCCAGGCATGCTCTCCCTACAAAAGAGGAAAACAGAAAGATTTCATTATTAAGTAGCTCTGGGAAAGTCTGCTGCTATAACATAGGACATGATTTAGAATGGACATTTATTAGCATATTAAATGCTCTGAGAAGCCCTTCACTACCTATTTAACTTCATTGGACAGACATATTCCTGACTTCATTGGACTATGGGATCTCTTTTGTACACAGCGCCACTCAGCATTCTTGGTTCTGAGGGGCTAGCTCACTCCTGGAACCTTGGCCGAGGCCATCTCATTTCATGGCAGAGTGCGTGCCTGTTCCCTTTCATGGTATGAATGTTTCCCTCTCACATTAAGACATAAACTAGTTGGTTGGTTGTTTCATGTTTCTCTACAAAATTTAGGTGGTAATTGAAATATAGATTTATGTATACACATTGCATTCTGCTACTTTTTTTCCTAAGCAAAGAACTTTTAAAATTCATTTAGGCAAGAAAAAAATTAAAAAGCCTTCTTTGGGGTATGGGTTTGTTTTTTAATTATCTTTGGAATTTAAAAAAAATTTAGTCCTTGGAAGGGCCTCTGTTTTAAGGAGAAATCAGACTGTGTCAATTTGTGCCTCACTTGCAAGATTTTAGATTTTAACCTATTGGTAATGTATCCTTTTTGGATATATTATTTAGTAGAATGTAAAAGCGGACAACTACATAATAAGAAATTTTAGAAGTAGTATTTTTGTGGAATTTACACTTACAAATTCCCAAGAAAATGTTGTTTATGTATTTAAAACTGAAGGAAATAATGGGGCAATTTTTCAACAAGCAAAGTTTTGATGGGTTTATGCTGTCCTGTGTATCATGCACACTTCAATTTCTCATGTGAGGGTCATTTCTCTTTTGAAAACAGGCCTGGGAGAAATGATGGAAAATTTCTATTTTCCAGAAAAATACATTAAAAATCAATATGTTTGAGATACAAAGGAAAATTCTATTCACATTCCAGATTTGTACTTTGGAAGCAGAAAATATACAGTCATATACCTATACTACTTATAGAAAGAAGCAGAAACAAGTTTATTTACTTTATAACTTGGGTTGTCTAGAAAGATATTTTTGTGTTAATTGACAGTAAAACTAAAAAATATATATTAAGAAACAATAGTAGTTTCAATGTTAAGAATTCTGTTTGCCCATATTTGCAACTTAACAAACATTACTACCATCTTAAAGAAACTTCAATGGGATAATAGACTTTACTCCTCCATCACATATGAATGTCTGTTTGCAAAGTTAACCTGTTAACTTGCATGATACACACATTAAGTTCTCAGCCTTACTATTCTCAGCATACTATTATACCTATAGATCTGCAATACAGAATTCCTAGGGCTTTTTTATTTTATTTATAATACTATTAGTAGCACTATAGCTTTGCATAAAAATGGATCATGAATTCACAGCAGGGAAGGATACTTTATATTTTGTTCTTATTGTCCTCACATGGCAAAGTGAATGGTCAATGAGATTTTTTTTGAAGAACCACTTTGAATACAATTTCATTAAATAATGTTAAAACAGATAGTAAATATACATTATTGTTTTTCAATCGAAACAGTAAGTAAATCAAGTTCCTAAAAGTTGCTGAATGTCCTCAAGAATGAAAGTTTCTCTTTGTCTGGAATGTGCACATATATTAGCAAACTATTCTAAATTTCCTGGTATGGTCACCACAAGTAAGTTTAATGAGAGGAGAAACACCATTATTTAGCTAGGCTGCAGAAATATATAATTGCAGTTTTTAATATTCATAGTTATTTAGAAACCAGATTTAAATCATAATAATTCTGTTAATTTTGAACTATGCAATGTCTGTTAGCTATTTAATATGAATGACTAGAAAAACTTGTGAACTTGTTGTAGAAGAATCAAGAAAGTAAATCACTCATTTAAAAATATTGACTGACCAGCCCTGGCCTCATGGCTCAGCTGGTTGGAGCTCGGTTCCATGTACCGAAAGGTTGTGGTTGTATTCCTGGGCAGGGTACATGCCTGTGTTGAAGGTTCAATCCCCAGATGGGTCACTTATGGGAGGCAACCAATTGTGATGTTTCTCTCTCTCATTGATGTTTTTTCTCTCTGTCCGTCTCCTTCCCTCCGTTCCTTCTTCCCTTCCTCTATCTCTAAAACATCAATAGAAAATCAGTGGAAACATGTCCTTGGTGAGGATACACACACACACACACACACACACACACACACACACACACACCATATTATATGCCAGACACAATGACAAGCACTTAGAATTCAGAACTGACTTGCTCTTAGGGAACATGCTAGAGTGACACTTACTGTTCTAGAGAATAGATGTCCTTTGACATAGAGAGGGTAAAGTAATGAACTCTCTTGGGAGGGTTTTAGGAAAGGCTTCATTGAGTACTGTTTGACTAGTGCTTCCAAGGATGAGTGGGAGTTTTCAAGGGATTGGAGCAGAGGGATTCATACGGGGCAGGGAGAATGGACTGAAAAGCATGGAGTCATGAAATGGTCTTGCTCTGTTGGACCAAGGCCATTGTGGTGGAATTGTGTGGCAGGAAAACAGATAATGCTTCATAAAGTCTTTTGCAGGCAAATAATTGCCTGTCTAAATATACAAATTCCTTTCTAATTTGTGGATTTAATGAGGTAGAATCCCAAATAATTTTAATGTAGTATTATTTATCCTTGTGAACGCAACCTTTGTTTCCCAGTATTGAAACTGAAGATCTTTCCGGCATCTGTTTATGGGAACAGGATATGGGGGAGTGATGAGGGAATGGTACCTTTTCTTCTTTCTGAGTTTTTAATTGTTTCTGGACTGTGATCGGTATGTTTGGAGGGAAAGCCTCTCTTTGTGAAACTACATTTAGAGTGGGATATAAGACAGTTGCTCATTTTTCCAGCCAAAATTTGTTACAGATATATTGCCCTGTGGTTTCTATTATGTCTATGGCAAAAAAAAAATATATCAGGCAAACCAAACATTTTCATGTTACTAGTTTTAAAGATAATTTTTAAAATTTAATGGAATACCTAAATTAGTTCAGATAGCTAGTTATTTCTTCCATGCAGTTAATCATTCATCCCTGAAATAAAGAAAGGATATACTTAAGATTTTTCAGAAGAGTTTTCAAAATATTCAGTAATATCAAATATCTCTTATGTTCAACTATATTTTCAAGGTTACCATTTTACAAAATAATTATGGCTATTTTTATTGAAGTCTTATATGCCAAGTCCTAGATTAGAAATTTTATAGACATTATGGCTAATTCTTAAGTGGTTTATATGAACCACAGAACTACTAATTAGAAGAGCCATGATACGAACTCAGGTTATGACTCTAAAATAGTTGCTTTTTTTTTCATGCCACACTGCTCCTCTTCTTCTGTTCATGATTCAAAAGAGTAAGGAGTAATAAAGCACAGTGAGCTTTCACTGGAACAGAAGCCTTTCTCCCCACCTGACCTAAGCCACAGATGCCTAGTACACATCATGGCAAAGAAGGGATATTTAATAATGACTGAATGAATTGATGAATTAATGACTGAATCAGAAAAAAAGAATAGAAATTATGCTGGCTATGAAGGAAGCATTGGAAACCCTGGGAATTAAGTGACACTAGCCTAACTTTTGTCTGAAAGAGCTACTTGAAACCTAATTACTTCTTGGCCCTTGAAGGAGTTGGGTTTACAAAGAACTCTGAATACTCCTTCATTTGCTTGTAACAATGTCAGGTGTCTTCTTTTTATTCAACAAATAATTTTACTGAATGCCTGCTAAGCACTCTCTGTTCCAGTCACTTCAAAGGATTGTTCCAATGGATCTGTCTTATCCATAACCTCACAATGAACAGTAGATAAGTTATTTTTAAGGTTACTTCT